GAGTGACACTTTAACAGTAGGAAGTCAACGGAATAATAGAGCAGCATCTAAGGTAGTGTGGCCGAGCGGTCTAAGGCGCTGGATTTAGGCTCCAGTCTCTCCGGAGGCGTGGGTTCGAATCCCACCGCTGCCAAGTGTTCTTTTCCTTCGCTACGATTTCCAATTTAACGGCACCGCTAATCCTCTGTTATATGTCTATTGCCTTGGAAGAAAATCTCACAACGTTCAGGAAGACTTAGGGTTTTGCTTTTTTATACATTCCCGTTTTTCTTCCTGCTTTTAAGAACATTTGCTTTGAACAATAAATGAAACTTCCCACCTAAAAACCCCTTTTTGGTTTCATGTTGTAGACGGTAGAATTCTACCGCCGCTTCAAATCAAAGAAACAAAAAAGTGCCGTTTCTGCCTCCCACCAATTAATGCATGTTGTAGAATATATGAAAATAAAGTTAACGAAGAACCCTGGCTACTGTTTCAAGACATGGGTAAGGCTGGATATCTGGCGGCGGCGGAGAAATACAGTACACGGCACTATCGAGGCTAGACTGAGCACGCAGAAGGCTAAAAGAAGTGAGGAGAACAGTTGCGATAACTGCCCGGCTAGCTCAGTCGGTAGAGCATGAGACTCTTAATCTCAGGGTCGTGGGTTCGAGCCCCACGTTGGGCGCACACTTTTTGTCTAATTTTTTTTTTAAAAAAACACCAATAACTATTTTAGAAGCCATATGTTACCGCAGACTCCTTTTTTATTTATTGTCTTAAGTGAAGCAGGGCAGAGCGGTAGCAGGAAAATGGAACAGAAGAACCGTGGTCTTGAAGCCAACCTTCCAGAAACTTGGAAACTTTGGCACTGAACAAGGGAGGCAAATCACTGGGAATTAACATCCATGACTATTCATAACGGCTTTTAATTTCATCAGGATGAGTTCGAAAGGTCACTGGATTCCATGTCACCACAAGATCTACACGTTACTACATTGTATTATAAAAACATTTTGTGTGTGTGTGTGTGTGTGTGTGTATGTGTGTGTATCTCAGCCAAATAATTTTTTTTTAAAATTAAATAAATATAATCCCGTGGCTGCATTCTGGTAACAAGGTCTGGTCTGGCACAGCACATAAAGAAAATTCTGAGAACCACCAGGTCCACCAACAAACCCCTGCATTTCCCTGCGCTGATTCATCAGGGAATCATATAGATAAGTTTATCATCCAGCCTCATACTCAGTGCAGGAATCTTGCAACAAGCACAGCACCCCCAAGATCCCTTGTTAAAATAGCTCTAGTGAAGGAGACCCACCCTCCGCCAGAGACAGATTCTACTGCTCTGTCCACCACAAGCTCCTACTGTTAGGAAAATTATCCTTATGTTTACCCTGAATCTACACATCTGTGCAATTCTGTCCACTTGCTCAGGTCTGCCCAAAGGCTGTTGCACCAGGGCAGAAATCAAAACCAACAATTTCAGAAATCTGGTTGAAGAAATTACACTGTGGCAGTAGCAGGGCTGGCACACTCAGGTGGCAAGGTGAGGTGACCAACTCAGGTGGAAGGATCCACAGAGGCAGCAGATCTGACCAAGGAATGCATGGACCACAGCTGTTGGCACTGCCACGATGTGGCGCACACCTTGGAGGTTGGATCTGCTGCCTCTTCAGCAGTCCACCCCAAAGCTGCCTCTACAGTGGCCTCTTGGAGAATCTGAGGTCCTGCTGGTCTCCTCCCACTCTTGGAGTAGAAATGGCTGAGGAGGCCCTCTTGGGTCTCCTGGGCACTGCACCCATTCAGTGTGCCACTAGGCAAGGTTGACTTGACTCCCCCACTTGTTTCGGATGTAATAATAATAATAAAAATTTTATTTATACCCCGCCATCCCTGGCCATAGCCGGGCTCAGGGCAGCTAACACCAGTAAAAATTACAGTAAAAACATAATAGGGGGAAAAACCACCAATTTAAAATACAGGTTAAAATGCAATTTAAAATGCAGCCTCATTTTAAAAGTAGCCCATAGATCAAAACCATAAGGGGAGGGAAACATAAGGGGCAGACTGAGTCGAAACCAAAGGCCAGGCAGAACAGCTCTGCCTTGCAGGCCCTGTGGAAAAATGTCAAATGTTGTCATTTGTGGACCTTAATATCCTCCGCGGGGCATACGAGGAGAGGTGGTCCTGTAGGTACGTGGGTCCTAGATCTTTATTCCCTCTGTGTTCCTGATGTTGATCTTCACTCACCCCTTCCTCTCTGCTGGGAGGGGGACGCAACAGTTCATGGTTTGCCTCAGGTGCCAAAATGTCTTGAACCAGTCCTGGATAGTCTTAAAGACTTTGCAACTCAAAGGACTGAGAGGCCACCACCACCACTAAGGCACATTTCATCCCCAAGCACCCTCTCTCAGAGGTCCAGAGAGGACCAGGCCACTTCCAGATATGAAATCATAATAATAAAAAAATGAAATGATCCCACATGCACTTGATCTAGAAACAGCCACTAGTGGTGGGGTTTTTTGGCCAATCAGCTGGTCTGACATGTTCATCATGGTATAATCTGCCATCAGAAGTCATATAATTTAATTACTATTTATGAATATTAAAACTCTTTAATATGACAAAATACGTATTTTACCAAATAACATCTCTTATTTGTTTAAATTTGCAGCTCTAAGCTGAAAGTGTGCCAAACTTTAGGCCGATGCACAGGAAAAGAAGTTGCAAAATTGTCAAATGCCAAAAGAATTGACAAGCAACTAAATCTGAGCCTTCCAGAACCTGGTATCCTTCAGATGTCCTGGACTATAGCTCCCAGCATCTCTGACCATGAGTCCTGTTGTCTATGGTTGTGTACACACTACACCTTTAAAGCCCATTCAGAAGCACACTCTTTCATTCAAAGCATTCTGGGCACTGCAGTTTATTAATAGTTGCTGGGACTTTCAGCTCCGTGAGGGGTTAACTACAGTGCCCATAATTCATTGAGGGAACGAATGTGTTCCAAATGTGCTATAAAGGTATGGTGGGGATGCAGCCTACATCTGGTGGGTGCTAGGTGAGGGAAGGCTGCTCTAGGGTCTTTGATTGAATATCAGTTGCTGAGGAGGGGGCTGATGCGCTCTTGGCATTTGATTGGCCACTGCTGGGAAGCAGGATGCTGCGTATCTCTTCATGGTCTCCTTTGTATCCCGCTTTGTCAAAGAAGAAACATGCTGCTTACAGAGACAGAGCTCTCTTCATCATGCAAGGAACTATGGAAGAAAAGAGGATGCTCTTAAGGATTCTTCTGTCACCCTCCTTACTTGTGAAATTTTCTGGAGTGGGTAGCTGCATAAAGGCTACTGCAGCAAAAACAGAGAATAATCATGCTCATAATAATATTTCCCCAGCCACTCTGGGCGGCTCCCAATAGAATATTAAAAACACAATAAAAACATCAAACATTAAAAACTTCTCTAAACAGGGCTGCCTTCAGATGTTTTCTAAAAGTCAGATAGTTGTTTCTTTCCTTGACATCTGATGGGAGGACATTCCACAGGGCGGGTGCCACTACTGAGAAGGCCCTCTGCCTGGTTCCCTGTAATCTCACTTCTCACAGTGAGGGAACCGCCAGGAGGCCCTTGGTGTCTGGGCTGAATGATGGGGTTGGAGACGCTCCTTCAGGTATACTGGGCCTTTGAGGCCATTTAGGGCTTTAAAGGTCAGCACCAACACTTTGAATTGTGCTCAGATTGTGAAGCTATATATACAGTGGTACCTTGGGTTACAGATGCTTCAGGTTACAGACTCCAGTAACCCAGAAATAGTACCTTGGGTTAAGAACTTTGCTTCAGGATGAGAACAGAAATTGCACGGCGGGAGGTGACGGCAACGGGAGGCCCCATTAGCTAAAGTGGTACCTCAGGTTAAGAACGGACCTCCAGAACGACTCTTAACCTGAGGTACCACTGTATATAGACACATTTATTATGGCATTAGCTTTAGTGAACCTCGAGTGTACCTCAGCAGATACACGGAGTTTTATCCAGATCTATATATACACATCAGGAGTGCCAACTTGGCCCCGTGACCATGGGTGCCTGGGGCCGTGGGTGCCATGCAGTGGGCATGGCCCTGGCACCCAAATTTGTGGGTGCACGGCCCCTTCATGGGGAATTTTGTGAGTGCTCAGGGCCCCAGGGAATTGGCACCCATGGTACACATGGTTTTCAGATGCGGGGGAATCTTAAGAAGTAATGTTAGAGGGGAAAGGTATGCAAAAAGTAAAGCCTGTGAGTCTGTTACATTAAAGCAGGCGTGAAGAACCTCAGGTCTGGGGGCAAATGTGTCCCTCCAGGCATCCCTTGGTGCTCCCACTAGACCACATTCCCTCCCCAGGAATCTCCTCCCAGGTTCTGTTGCCCTAGATGGAAAGTGTTGAACTGTGGTCATTCCTCTTGCTTCCCTAGGCAGAGAGGTGTGTGTTGTGGGTGCAGCAGTAGAAGCTCTGTATTTGCATTACTGGAATGTAGCCTACGGTGCAAAAGTAAGAGTCACTTTCATTACTTTGCCCATTTCTGACTTCTTCTCAGGGTAGCGTGGCCGAGCGGTCTAAGGCGCTGGATTAAGGCTCCAGTCTCTTCGGGGGCGTGGGTTCGAATCCCACCGCTGCCAGTGGATTGCTTTTCATTTTCAAAGCACAGATCAAATCTTCCCAAATAAACCTTCGGAAAACAAAGCTTTGCTAAGGGAGATAGTTAAAAACATAGGGACTATTGTTGTTTTTGAAAACAGTAGTTAGGCTTAATAAGGAAGGCAGAAACAGATGAATACTTATTGGTGTAATCTAAATTGCATCTCTCAGTTGTTTTAATAAATAGAAGTCACATCACCCATTGAAATACCCAGAAAGTTGACCTAAGCCAACCTGTTGTATGGAAATATATTTGGCAGGATGCTTTCATAGGCTTATAAGTGCCCAAATAGAGGAAATAAGCTTTTTTTAAAAAACAAAAAACAAAATCTTTGCGAGGATGGACATTACTAACGATAATCCCTCGGCGGTGAATTATCTCATCTGGCAAATCGTAAAGCTCTGATAATATGTGAAAAGTCGCTGTTCTTAATAAACCCAGTTGACTTTTGACGTGCGATTGCTATTGAGAAAAGGAATCGTCCCTGGGTGGGCTCGAACCACCAACCTTTCGGTTAACAGCCGAACGCGCTAACCGATTGCGCCACAGAGACCGCCTTACTAAAGTAGCGGAAAAAGAGTGCTCAAATACCACGAGGAAGTACCTATTTTCCCCTTCCAGCTTTGTAATATATATATATGCATCTTTTTTAAAAACAAACAGGTTTGTTGTAACAGAGTTACAAACACTGATAAAGAAATAAGAAATTACCGTCCTCTAGGTGCTCTGCATACAGATCATGAATGGCACGCAAGGACAGGCCAAATAACTTGGTTTCCCTTATGTCAGAGAAGAGGAACCCAAAGCCAGGGGCCCAAATGCGCCCCCCCCGGTATAATTAGACCGCTCGGCCATCCTGACTACTTAAGAAAGGGGGTTTCCTTTTTCACTTGCCATGCCTCGCCCCTCTCGCGGGCTGGTGTTCTTACCTGGCTGGTATGTATCTTTGAACTCTAAGAATGCCTCTTGCTCCCCAGCTAAAATTTACTTTTGTCGCTCTGCCCACTTTCTTCTCTGGCGCTGTTCACCACTGCCCGCCACGTGGGCCTGGGAAGCTTGCGCAGAAGAGAATGTGGACCTCGAGCTGAAAAAAAATATCCCCCCTCCTGCACTGTGTGATTCTAATAAATATTTTACATCAAATTAAGACGAAGTGGGTGAAAAAAACGAAGCTGGCAGCGGTGGGATTCGAACCCACGCCCCCGAAGAGACTGGAGCCTTAATCCAGCGCCTTAGACCGCTCGGCCACGCTACCTCCGACGTATGGGTTTACGGGGAATAGTGTGAACAATGCTTTCCCACCTCCTCATTCCTGTTGTACAGTATTTTTGTTTCGCCAATTTATTTAATCAATCCGCTGATTGCTGAAGGTGGCCTGCATGAAGCACAACTACACGATGATCAGTTGCACTATAAACTGATTGCTCTAGTGATGCGATACTGAAAAGGTTTCAGCATCTTGAGGCTTTGAATCAGCGGGGTTAAGCGAGAGACCCTCGCTCCTGGAATTAAAAAATAAAGAGAGCTGCGTCTGAAACTCCCAGAGAGTTGTTGGTAAGCTCTACAGCACGCCACGGGTGGGGGGGGGCAACACTGAATCAAGTAAATCAATAAAAAGACTTAACTAAATGAGGTTCTGCCCCCCTAAACATAAAGCCTGTCCCACACCCAAAAATCCTGCCTACGCCAATACCGCGCGCCAAAGCAGCATCAGGAACAGGAAGGAGACGTGGAGGCAGAGAGGAAGCAGGCTGAAGTCGCGCGGGAAATTCAAATACTATAGCGTGCGGGGGAGAGAAGGAACTTTTGTTGTCCTCAGCCAATCAGGAAAGAGCGAACTGCCTATAAACAACTAGAAAATGACCTCAACCCTTTCCAGCCTTTCCTTGTCCAGGGACCTGTTTCAAGGTTTCGTAAGAGCGAGGTGGCCCGCACGAAGCAGACGGCTCGCAAGTCGACTGGCGGGAAGGCGCCTCGCAAGCAGCTGGCGACCAAAGCCGCCCGCAAGAGCGCGCCGGCCACGGGCGGAGTGAAGAAGCCTCACCGCTACCGGCCGGGCACCGTGGCGCTGCGCGAGATCCGCCGCTACCAGAAGTCGACGGAGCTGCTGATCCGCAAGCTGCCTTTCCAGCGCCTGGTGCGCGAGATCGCGCAGGACTTCAAGACGGACCTGCGCTTCCAGAGCTCGGCCGTGATGGCTCTGCAGGAGGCGAGCGAGGCTTACCTGGTGGGCCTGTTCGAGGACACCAACCTGTGCGCCATCCACGCCAAGCGCGTCACCATCATGCCCAAGGACATCCAGCTCGCCAGGCGCATCCGCGGAGAGAGGGCCTGAGAGGCAACGCTGGGAAGACAGCCCCATCCCCCCAAAGGCTCATGGAAGAGCTGGAATTTACTGATTATTTTCCACCATTAGCCACTCCTGTAGGCTTCTGGGCCATTGCCTTTTTCTTGCGCTCCAAGGTGGAGGCCTGGTCCTTGCTAAGCCTGAAGGAGCCCAAGGTGCCTGTGCTGTTGCTCTGCACCAGCATCCCCTGGCTGTTCTTGTCCACATCGTAGCTGCCTGCCACCAGCACCTTATGGAGGGCAGCCAGGAACACCCTGTGGCGCTCCTTGCAGGTCGAAGCCACCTGGACCAGAAGCTCCATCATGGTTATGGGCTGGAGGGCTTAGATGCACCCCCTGACACTGCTTCTTGCCCTCCACAATGACACAATTTCATTCAGCCCAGCTACGCCTAACTGCCCATATCCAAGATGAAGCCAAAGAGCTGTGACGCTGGCCTTTCTGACACCAGGGTTGACTTGTCCAAGGGAAACTGTTCCCCATTGAGATGGTCAGTCTGTCAGCAGTGCAGTCAATGTGGGTTTGAAAAGTGCTAGTCTCACTGTCAAAATGCACCAAATTCTTGGTCTGTTTGCAAAGAATTAAAATCTTGGTGACGGTGATTTAGTGCAGCAATATTTTGCAAGGTTGAACACAAATACAATTCGTTGCCTCCCCCCATAACTCTCCAACATGACCTTGCAGAAGCCCTATCTCTGCTATCAAACATAAATTTCTAAACTAATTCGGACCTCCGGAACGAATTAAGTACTTAACCCGAAGTATCACTGTACTTAATTTGTTCTGGAGGTCTGTTCTTAACCTGAAATAGTTCTTAACCTGAAGCACCGCTTTAGCTAATGGGGCCTCCTGCTGCCGCCACGCCACCAGAGCACAAATTTCTGTTCTCATCCTGAAGCAAAGTTTTTAACCTGAAGCACTATTTCTGGGTTAGCAAAGTCTGTAACCTGAAGCGTATGTAACCCGAGGTACCACTGTATACAGCAATACTGTAATCCTTATAAAACCCATGTAAAGGTTACAATGCAAGGCTATGTCAGTAGTGTATTATTATTTGTGGGAATGTTGTGGGTAGCAGGAGAGGATATATTGATTAAATATTATCCTTCCTAACTAAGGCCAGTGAGTTTTTATTCATACAGCAGAGTACATTCCACTCTTTACACAGCTGGAAGCTAGATGGTAGATTCATTTGAATCTCTTTACTTAAGCTTCTTGTGTCTTTATTCTCTTTAGGAGGGATAAAAGGGGTCTTACCAGGAACCAAACCCAATCTGAACAAAGCCAGATTGGATTGCTTCTTTTAAAAGTAATAAGAAGTTTACTCACATTCAGTTCACCGTAGGATCCCTGAAGGCAGGCTTTAGCTTAGAGTTACAGTTATAGAAAAGGGTCTGAGTTCGTCCCATGGGAATGAGCCCATGTCCTTCCTGGTGGCTGAGAGCCAGCAGACAGCAAAATACATCAGTATCAAGAAAGCATGGCATCAAGAGTGTTACAGAAAAATCTAGGTGTGAGGCTGCTCAGTCACCCAGCTTGTCAGGCAGAGCCCATAGGTCCCTGCGGAATATAGGAAGGAGTCCAGCCACCAACCGGAGCAAATAGCTGTAGACCAAAGTTTATTGCGCAACAGGTTCAAAGAGTAATTTTGAACCCCAAGGATGGGGTGACAATGACTTTTAAAACTTTCCCACCATATCCCAGAATACAGTTCATACAGCACCATTGATACATCATTGCTACATCACTGACATGCCACAAAAGGGGAGGGGTAGACAGGGGTTACACTAGTTTAACCTTGGCAAACATGTCCAGACAAGTCCTTGGTACAAGATTAGCATAAGGCAGCGGACATGTCAGGGCAAGACCCAGGTATAAGATTAGCATAAGCAAACAACTCTGAAGCCCCACCACCCAAAGTACAATAGAACTTCCTTTGCATGTCTTGGCAAGTCTGGTGATGAGATTTGGCTTCCCTTGGAGAACAATGAGCCCAGCAATTGTTACCTCTGGGCCTTTCCTGGGGTAGGAGGTGTGTATACATGTCTTCAAGCTTGGGGAGGTGGCAGGGGAAAGAGTCCTTTTTCCAAGGGCAAAATGGTGTTGGAATGGAGGAACTTGGCAAAGGTGTTGATTTTATATGATTCATAAAGCTATATTGCCTGAACTGTCAAGTCGAAAGAATACATTAAGGCACAGTATTTGTAACTGTTATCAACTTTAAAGATGTGCCCCCCCCCGTAATTTCCGTAACAAGAGGAAGAAGAGTCAAGGGAGGGAGATGGCTGCGTGACTGGACCATTTTGTGGGGTCTGCAAGGGTCACGCCCACCTACCTGGTCACATGCAAAGGAAGGATGCTCCAGACAGGAAAGTTCAACTGGCTGGACCAACATCTCCTTGCATGTCCACTCTAGCCATCAGGAAATGTTGTACAGTGGTACCTCGGGTGACATACGCTTCAGGTTACATACGCTTCAGGTTACACACTCCGCTAACCCAGAAATAGTTAAGAACTTTGATTCAGGATGAGAACAGAAATTGTGCTCCAGCGGCGTGGCGGCAGCAGGAGGCCCCATTAACTAAAGTGGTGCTTCAGGTTAAGAACAGTTTCAGGTTAAGTACGGACCTCCGGAACGAATTAAGTACTTAACCCGAGGTACCACTGTTATTTGACTGCTTATGTTGCATCCCACATTATTCCCCCATATTTCATATATGGGGCTGTGGTTAAGAAACAGTGGCTTCCTTGCCCAACTAGATATGTTCACGACAGAGGCAAAACTCAAGGGATGTCCTTAGTCCTACTTCACACTCTTACACCAGTTTGAAATTAGATATCATAGCCTAAAATGGTTTTGGGGATGGAGAGATGGAAGGGAGGTAAGAATGTGGGAATATGAATATACTCTTACTTTGAAGCTTAGTTGCAACAAAAGTAAACAGAATCTTTAAGATCCACATTTTCTTCATAAGACCCGGAGAGGAGCCTCC